GGAAGGTTTCCTATTGCTAAGTAGGACCTGTTGGACAGCCTCCAAGCAATGTTCTTCCTCTTCATTCAGCCATGCAGCAGCCATGCCGTAAGGTGTAGAGAGCTGATCGCCAGATGCAGAATGCATCTGTGTGAAGAGGTTGGGAAGGAGAGGTAGCGGCATGGGAGGCTGATCTGACAAAACAAGGAGGCCCGAAAAAAAACACTGTCTCAGGCATGCCAGGGCAATCAGGATGACCCTGGCTTGATGCACCTTGAGCTTGGCAATGACCTAGGGAATGATTGGGACAGGAGGGAAGACATATAAGAGAGTCGACTGCCAGCTGTAGTGGAAAGTGTCAGAGAGAGCCTGGGCTGAGACCCTCCCCGAGAGCAGAATAGGTGACACTCCTTGTTTTCCCTCATTGCAAATAAATTGATCATGGAGATGCCCCATGCTGCAAAAACAATCTGAAGGACACTCCTTTAAGGGACCATTCGTGGCTCGGGGAAAAAAACCTGCTGAGACACTCCGCAAGATGGCTCTGCACCCCTGGCAAGTGGACAGCTACCAGGGTGATGTTTTCTTTGATGCAGAACTGCCATAGGTTGATTGGCTCTAGGCAGAGCAATCTGGAGTGGGCTCCCCTTTGTTTGTTCACATAGTACATTGTGGTGGTATTGTTGGTGAGTAAGTGAACCACTGAATGCCTGATGCAGTCCTGGAAGGCACGACATGCATTGTAGATAGCCTGAAGCCCCAATACATGGATGTGGAACAAGGCTTCCTGTTCCAACCACAGGCCCTACACCCTCAACAAGTCCAAATCCGCCCCCAACCCAGAAGGGATGAATGTTAATCACTGATTTGATCGGGGAGGGCCGAGTGAAAGGAACTCCTTGGCACAAGTTGCATGGGGACTCCCACCAGTGAAGGGACTCCAGGACCAGTGGAGGAAGGTGAATCAACCAGTCCAGAGATGCAGGGCTGGGCAGTTAACTGTCCTGAGCCACATCAGAAGAGGGTGAAGACGCAACCTGGCAAACTAGACCACCTGGGTGCAACTGGACAGATGGCTCAACAGGCTCAAACACACACAAACTGTCATGGAAGGTTGCGATTGTAGACGGAGACACATTTGTTGAATTGCCAGGAAGCAGTCGCTCAGCAAGAACACCCTCAACTTTATCTAACAGAGCCCCAGTGAACTCCATTTGTTGAGTGGGAGCCATGGTTGACTTAGTGGTGTTTAGAATGAGTTCCAATCGGTTGAGTAAATGGTGTGCGGTGTTAACATGGGCAAGAACCTCCTCTCTGGAACTGCCCCTCAGCAACTGGTAATCAAGGTAGGGGAAAATGTGGATTTCCTTCCTCCAGAGGTATGCCATGACCACTGCCATATATTTGGTGAAAACTTGGGGGGGGGGGGGGGGGGGGGGGAAGGGGAAGAGAAGAGAGGCCGAATGAGAGAACTATGTACTGAAAATGGCATTCTCCTACTAAGAAGCAAAGAAACTTCCTGTGACTTGGTAGAATGGCCACATGAAAATAAGCATCCTGAAGAGCAGCAAACCAGTCACTCTAAGACAGAGCAGGGCAGATAGTTAAGAGTGTGACCATGTGGAACCTCACATATCTGATGAATTTGTTGAGTCCGCAAAGGTTGAGGATGGGCCTCATCCTGCCCTTGGATTTTGGTATCAGGAAGTACCAGGAGTAGAAACCATGACGCTGGTGTTCTCGCAGAACTTCCTCCACCGCTCCCAACATTAGCAGACAGCTGACCGGCTCGAAGAGCAGCATCTCATGAGAGGGGTCCCTGAAGAGTGGGACTGGTGCGTGGAGAGAAATTGGCTGGTATAGCCCGATCTTACAGTGTGTCTATGACCCAGCTGTCAGAGGTAATTGAGACCCAGGCATTATAAAAGCAGACCAGCCTGTCCCCAATGGAACAGGGGGTGGGAGGCAACGAGAGTGGAAGAAGAAGAACTGGAATGGTGCTCTGGACCAATGAGTCAAAATGGGCGCTTAACAGGTGCAAAAGGAGGGTGAACAGCCCAGCCAGGCCCTGAGCTCGAGTGCTTCCTCTTGTGAGACCTTTCCCTCTTCCTGGATTAGACTCACTGTCTCGAGGAGAAGGGCTGACGAAAGGATGCTGTGGTCTGTACAGTTGTTGTTGCTGTGCCCCTTAGTGGTGTCTCTGCATGGGCAGCGTATGCACCCCCAAAGACCTTACGGTAGCCCTGGAATCCTTAAAGGAAAGCAGGGCTTCAATCTTGTCTGAAAACAAGGCTCTGCCATCAAAAGGCAAGTCTTCGATTGTTTGCTGGACATCCAGAGCAATCCCTGAGTTTTGGAGATAGGAAGCCCTCCTCATAGTAATAGCCAAGGCCATCACTTTGGTCGAGGTGTCCGCAATATCAAGGGCGGATTGCAAAGACATCTTGGCCATCAAGCAGTCTTCGGTGACAAACACACAAGACTCATCACAAGACACTTCAGGCAACTGATCCTCAAATTTGGCCATAGTCAACCAATTGAGAAAGTCATATTTGGACAATAAAGCTTGCTGGTTCACAATCCTCATCTGTAACCATTAGGAGGTGCATACCTTTCTGCCCAAAAGGTCCAAACGCTTAGTCTCTCTGTCTTTGGACGTGGACTTGAACCTGTCCTGCCATGACCACCAGGGAGTTTGGGGCCAGATGGGAATAGACCCCCTTGTATGCCTGTACAGCCACAAAATAGCACTTCTCCAAGCACTTGACCACTGGCGGTAGTGAAGCCGGTGTACCTCAAAGAGCACTCACAGGTTTGAGGAGCACCTCATTAATTGGGGGGCCACTGCAGACACCAGCCTCGCGAAGTCTTTGACCAGCAGCGATGACGGGACCAAAAGGCACAGTAGGTCCGCTACAGCCTGATATGCTGACATCATAGACACGGTCAGTACTGGCATCCCTCCAGTCAGTACTGGCCTCTAAATAGATGCCTGGAGGCCAGAACTGTAGTCAACAGTACAGGGTTTCTGCCCTTCCTGCCCTGTACCAAAGGAGGAACAGATGTACATGTGCCATCCTGCGCACCAGGACTGGTCCCATGCCAGGGAAGGCAGAAGAGTTGCCTGGGACAACTCTTCTTTGGTGCCAACAACGGAGAACGACTCCTGTGCCTCTTCGGAGAGGTCACTACCCCAGAACAAGAGGCAGCAGCACTTTCTGAGCCCCAGGGCAATCTGCGGCCCGAGATAGTCCCCTGTGTGGGCTCAGTCCACGTGGCTTGTTCAAGCAGGTGCTGTTTGAGGCAAAGGACCTGCATCACCTGAGTCCTCTTCTTGAACGATCTACAGATGAACAGCGCTCCTTAAGATGGGCTTTGCCAAGGCAGAGCAAGCACTGTGTGTGGGGTCACTGTTGGGAAACGCCACTCCACACGAAGGACAATGTTTAAACCTGGGGAGGGCATCGAGGGGGGGGACACAGCCACTAATACTCTCTCTCTATTTTTTTTTTATTAAATCTAACTCTTAACTACGTACAATAAGCTACACAAAAAAGATGAATGTAAGGTTGTGAAACCCACCACCACAAGAGCTCTGACTCCAGCCGATGGGTGATGAGAAGGAACTGAGGGGGGCTGGGGCGGTGCCATCTCATATCGCCGGATGCTGCCCCTCTAATGGTACTGCTAGGCAAAAGTCTCCGGCTCCAGCGTTTGGGGTGCGCACACACTTACTTGGAATAGATGTCTTCAGCTACTCAAAGAAGAAATGTACCTAGTGGGATTTTCAAACATGCCTATCAGATCCAATATAGATCCACTAGGTGCCTATCTGCATCTTTAGGTGCCCAAATATCTTTGATAATCTGACCCTAACTCTCTAATGACAATAGATGCTACAAAGTAAAGACGTGTTGCATTGTATGCTTACTCCCCGAGAAGTGAAGTTGGTTCTAGGGAACAAAGCAAGGTTTGCAAAACAAAAATACCCTCTCACATCTTCATCTATATTCCCAAATGGAAACCTTTGTTCAGTAGCAAATTCATTTGGCTGAGAATTCCCTCCCTTCCACAATGACCCTACAGACCTTTGATCTCTTCTGTACTTTATTTGTGCTTCAGACCAACACTGAAAATGGCTGTGGGAGTTAATGTGGGCGCCCCTGCTGTTTGTATTGTATAGATACTGCATAAAGAGTGGGTACATTGAACTCAAACAGTAATTAAAACACATATTATTTAGCATGGCCAGAATGGACACACCCCACCAGATGAATATTTTAATGTCAGGGATTCTCAGTCCTCTTCAGAGAGAGAACCACATCTTAACAGTGAGAGCATCTCCTGGATTTCCCCTTATGCAAGCTCTCCTCTCACTGACAACTGAATAACATCCTCAATAGCAAGGAAAAGTAATGCTAGGAAAGCAGTTCATGTGTTTTAAGCTTTTTCTCAAGGTGATCTAGCAACTTGGAACTAGGAGGAGATGGCAGCACCATGCAACCAGCCGTCTCTCTGTGGTCTGCTAGGACATGTTCCAGGGAGCCGTTTGAGGTATGTCACACATGGAGGTGACACAGCCAGCGTCCCTTTAAAAATGGAAGTTGAAAGTTCAGACTGAAGCAGTGCAGCACTCTTTAAATGAATTCTTTGCTATTTCCTGCTGACTCTACCTTGCAAAGCTTGACTTTAAAAGACATATAGGCTCATGACTAAGCTGGGACCAATTATTTCCTCTCTTAGCCTTGGCAAGAACAGATGAGTATGGCTTTATTTACACAGGGAGCAGTACAAGAATGAGGCAGATGGGAACACAACTAATCCGCCCAATTTTCCAAAGTCGCTAATTAATTTGGATGCCTCAATAGTTAGGTAATCAGTTGAAGTGAACAGGAGCTGTGGGAATGTAACATCTCTGAAAATCAGAACTGTTAGTATTTCAAGTTGGGCATCCTACAATTAGTGGACAATTTCAAAGAGAGAATGACAGTTAAAAGTAACAGAAAACAGAGAACACTTACTGGTAATGTCATGCGATTCCAAGTAGAAGCAGTGATGGGATCATGGACGTAGCTCCTTCGAGTAGATAGCTCAGATGCACTCAAGCTACTTTGGGTCCTTCGGAATTCTAATTCAGGGGTATTCCAAGAATTAATAGTGGCCCTGGACTTCCTTGAATTCTGCTCAAGTAAATGTATTCTTGCATTGGCCCCTTCCGTTTCAGAGAGGTCTGTAGATGACTTGCATGCCTTTGTACGAGTGGAAGCTGTATTTTTTTCCACTTTGATCTGAGAGTCTTCCAAAGATTGTAATCCCCGCCTTGTCCTCCAAGAACTTCTCAGAGTGATGTGTTTTGTCTCTGGTGAATCTGCTTCTAAAGGCCCATGGCTTTTCCAGCTGATTGATTCTAAGGATGGCTCACAATTGTTCTTCTCAATGTGTTCAGAAGGTTTTATCATAATACTGCTTCTTGAGATTAGTGTTTCCGTCCTGTTTCTCAGAGCTAAATCCCCAATTTTATCTGCCTCAGATAATTTCAGAGCAATATCACTCTTATTAATTGAGATCTCAAAGGGTGTGCTGATGTTGTTTGTTATGGTTGATAGCTCATTTGGAGTGACTCTAATATTGCTGGTAGAAGTATGTCTTTCCTTTGCGGCTTCATTTGTGTTGGTCCTTGTGTTGGCTGGCTCAGAGGGGAAGATTGTTATGCTGCTTGTCATTTTATTTGTCACAGTTTTAAAGAGAGATTTCTGTTTTTGAGAGTATTCTTCAGACCCAGCCCCTCCCATTACTTCTTTCATGTCCTTTTCAATTATTACAGGTTTAATGATGGCTTTTGATCTCAAAGCTTCTCTAGGGCTGAATGACCTTCTGGATTTCAATCCTACGCTGGCGGCATCTGAAGATGTCTTTATGGATTTGAGGGGGTCATCTTCATTTCCAGTATTTTTATCCTTTTCAAAGAGAGATGCTCTGAGAACTCCTCTGGAGCTTGAGAATTCTCTGGAACTGGGTTTCTTTCTCGTCTCCAGTTCTGACTCAGTAGCAGCATTGGTGCTTTTACCAATCTCCTCATCTGTACTAAGTTTTTCATGGCTAGCTGGTTTGATGGCTTTGGATCTCAAAGAGTCAGATTTTATGCCAACATTTGTCTGATCTGTAACTGATGGTGCAGATTGGTCCATTCCTTCCTTACCTTGACTTGTGAGAATCTGTAAGATGTCTTCTTGACTTCTTGAGCTGTTTGAATACTTTATTAAAGTCGGAGGCTTTGTATTTTCATGAAAAGTGTCTGTAAATTCTCTTTCTTGGGAGTTTATTGTTCTTTTAGATTTCCCTTCTGGGGACTGTCTATGAGATAAAACAGAGACTGTTGCTGCTTCTGCTTTAGAGCTGGTGGATTCAGCTGCTAACATCTGAGAAGAGATATGGTATCTATATGATGAAGCTGTTTCATTGGATGGTGCATGGTTACTTTTCATAAAGGGTATCTCTACACATAGATCAGACATCTCTGTTTGGCTTGTTTTCATCTTTTCAGTCAAAGATATAGTCATTTCTCCTTTGCTTGATTTTTCATCAGAGTTACCTTGGCAAACATCACTAAATATTTGAGATGGCTTTTCAACCTTGGTCTTCAGTCCACTTTCATTCCCAGGTTTGGAAGATGCTTTCCAAGATTTGTACTCATGTGCAGCCGGTGGGTATCGACTCAGCACAGATGGCTGCTCTCTCGATTTCTTCACTTCATTTTGTGGAGCAACACTATCTTTCTGCATAGATAAATATGTAGCAACTGCTGATTTGTCTTCCATTCTTTTTGTATCAGTAATCACAGTGTCTAGTAGAGCAGATGTACTAGATGCCTTTACTGTTCTCCTAGTAATTAAACTTGGACTGGGAACTTGCTTGCTACTTGTGGTATAACTGTCATTATTGGAAGAGAATTCTCTGTTCCGTGTCCTTTCTCGTCTATGCTGAGGTGAAAGCTCCCGTGACTTGTGTTTTGAAATTGCCGGCTCAGCTGTGATACCTCTGTATTTAGGTCTGTCATGTCTAATTCTGCTGGGGAAGCTCATTTCTTCACTTTCCACCTCACCATTCTCCATATCCTTTTGTTTCTTTATTTGAATTTTAATTTCTTCCAATTGACCAGTCAGGAGCTTGTTTTTATTCTGTTCACTCAGATAACTATCTTGCAGGTCATTATTTTTGGCTTTCATTTTTTTAAGTTCTTCTTCTAAAGATTCAAAATGTTTAATTTGAGTTTTAAGTTTCTCAATTTCTTGGTTGAGATCTTTCACTTTGTTGTCTTCTTGATTTTTATTCTTTTGATTTTCTGATTTATTTCTGGTTTCATTTTCTACATGCTTTAGGTAATCCAAGCTTCCCTTTCTTCTGGTTTCTTTAGAGGGCAATGCAGAGGTCAAGTCATCTTCAATTCTCAGGTCATTTCTATCCAGAAGACTATTTGATGATCTTTCTAGCAGGTTTGATGCATTTCTAGTTTGATCTGCCCTATTTAGTTTGTTGTTTTGTTCTAGTTTTTGTGTTAGCTCCTGGATTAATTTTTCATTCTGCTTTTCTCTTTCATTGAAGTGTTTTCTTTCACTAGCAAAGCTCAGTGTTAAAGATTTCAGCTTTTCTAACTCACTTACTAAACTATGTTCAGTTTTATCCAGTCTGTCTTCAGATGCTTCAAGTTCTTTTACTTTCATCCTAAGTATTTCCAACTCTGTAGATATTTTTTTGGTCAAATTTTTTTCTTCATTAAGGCTCAGACACAGCTGAGTACAATCATTCTTGCTCCTGCCGAAAGCTTCCTCCAGTTTTTCCAGTTCTGCCATTCTCTTCTGAAGTTGTTCAATTTCTGATTTAAGTTCTCGAGTGAGACTTTCCTCCTCCTCCAGTTTTTCCTTCATCAACTGACAGAGCTCTTCAGCTTTTTTTATTTCTTCATCCTTGCCTTCAATTTTCAGCACTCTTTTTCTCAGAACTTCTACGTCAGCCAGCATGCTAGAATTGCTGCCTTCTGCCTGGATAACTTTGTCCTGAAGGTCAAGAAGCTCATCCTCTGCTTTCTGGAGATTTTTTGTTGCTTCTTCCAGTTCATCAAGACGACGGCCAAGACTCTGTAACTTGAATCGAAGATGGCGATTTGAAGTCTCCTTATAACCTGTAAATTCTGCCATTTTTATTTTTTGTTCTTGGGTTCAATTTTCTTCAGTTTGGATCAAAGGGGTGATTTTAAACATGTCGGTTTCTCCTTGAATCCTGCAGCTTCTTTGACAGAGACAATTTTAGCCTGAAAGAAGAAAACAAAGTGAATACAGGAAGGTAGGAAATGTTTCTTCTGTATAATCTCTTCTTTCATTAAACATGTTTCTGAACGCTATAATTCAGAGCATAAGGAGTGACACAGTGGAAAAGATCAGTGGTCCATTTAGTCTAGTAATACAGTGTACTGTCACCAGTATCCCACCACTGGTGGGTGGGAGAAATGAATACCCTCCTAAGCTCAGTTAGGCAGACAGTATGTATGTGTATCCTAGGGTGACCAGATAGCAAGTGTGAAAAATCGGGACGGGGGTGGGGGAGTAATAGGAGCCCATATAAAAAAAGCCCCAAATATCAGGACTGTCCCTATAAAATCAGGATATCTGGTCACCCTAGTGCAGGGGTCGGCAACCTTTCAGAAGTGGTGTGCCGAGTCTTCATTTATTCACTCTAATTTAAGGTTTTGTGTGCCAGTAATACATTTTAACATTTTTAGAAGGTCTCTTTCTATAAGTCTATAATATATAACTAAACTATTGTTGTATGTAAAGTAAATAAGGTTTTTAAAATGTGTAAGAAGCTTCATTTAAAATTAAATTAAAATGTAGAGCCCCCCTGACGGGTGGCCAGGACCCAGGCAGTGTGAGTGCCACTGAAAATCAGCTCGCGTGCCGCCTTCGGCATGTGTGCCATAGGTTGCCTACCCTAGTGTATCCACTCAGCGCCCCTCCAAGATTGATTAGTGCTCTTTGTGTGCGTGCGTGTGTGATGCATGCTCCTCTGTGACTGGTTAGTTGTGTGCATATGCACACATTATGGATCCCTGCACAAAACTATTCCATTAGCAGATACCTCACTTCAGAGAAATGTGCACATCTCAGGCAAACTCTTAGACAGAGAATCAATGACCATAAACTAGAGCTGGAAACTGGAAGACACGAAGTACATAAAAAGAGGAATGATCACCACAACAGAGGAGAGGCTAAAGTAACTAGTGTGACAAAGTTCCTCGTCTACCTTTGTGGGTCCTGCGCTTATTGGTGGATTTTGCTAGCCTCAGAGATCTTCCTGTGTTGGATCAGGAGTTGGGAGGTTTTGGGGGGAACCCGGGCCCGCCCTCTACTCCGGGTTCCAGCCCAGGGCCCTGTGGATTGCAGTTGTCTATAGTGCCTCCTGTAACAGCTGCATGACAGCTACAACTCCCTGGGCTACTTCCCCATGGCCTCCTCCAAACACCTTCTTTATCCTCACCAAAGGACCTTCCTCCTGGTGTCTGATAACGCTTGTACTCCTCAGTCCTCCAGCAGCACACCCTCTCACTCTCAGCTCCTTGCGCCTCTTGCTTCCAGCTCCTCACACGCGCATCACAAACTGAAGGGAGCTCCCTTTTAAACCCAGGTGCCCTGATTAGCCTGCCTTAATTGATTCTAGCAGCTTCTTGATTGGCTGCAGGTGTTCTAATCAGCCTGTCTGCCTTAATTGTTTCCAGAAAGTTCCTGATTGTTCTGGAACCTTCCCTGTTACCTTACCCAGGGAAAGGGGACCTACTTAATCTGGGGCTAATATATATGCCTTCTATCACTCTCCTGTAGCCCTCTGGCCTGACCCTGTCACACTAGACACTGCCTACACCAGTGTTCAAAATACAGGAAAGAAATTTCCTCAAATAATCAGGAATCCAAGAACTTTTCATGAAAAGGCAACAAGGAACATCTGTGAAGCAACCTGCCTCTGGATCAGAGATGGACCCAAAGGGGTTAACCCAAACACAGAGGTTGGATATTTTGCAAGTTAAATTCAGAACAGATTAAAGTCTAGTCCTGGACAATGGCTGATGGATTGCATTTGCCTCTGACAGATACCCTTTGGCAACATCTAGATAGTTTGTAATGGCAATAAAGAGTAGAATCTGAGTGCACCCCAAGCCCTGGACTGGTGGAGAGGGAAGAGGGAGAGGAGTTGCTGAATTTCTGCTGGAACCTGATGAGTGGTGTTTGTGTGAGCTGAATTCCTTACTGAATCCACAGCGTATATGTGGGGATTGCCTGTATTGTAGCAGAGATGACTGACTTACCACTCAGCAGCTGCCTCTTGGGAAGAGCTGCCCAGGTCAGAATTTCCTAGGTTTTCAAAGATCAGGGAACTGAAAACCAAAATATTCCCAGAACTTTTCTAATGCAGCTGTGTAACTGATCTATCTGCAAAACTGCCAGCTAGTATGCGAGCCTGCTGCCATCTACTGGAGACAGGAAACAAATGCAGAATGAGAGTTAGAACCTAAGATTCTGCATCTGTAGGGAGAAAGCCTCAAATCCATTTCCTTGGGCATCTAGAGGAGAACAGGGAGAGCTCAGATTTAGACCCCATCACATCACACAGGGCTCATTGAAGGTGACTGAGATCAGACCCAGGAAACATGGATGCAGCTGGTGGTTTCTGCGAGTGTAATATCAGTTAATTCTGGAATCTGACTATGTTTACCTTCTCCAGAAGGAATTTGGAGGGATGTCAGGTGCTCTGCTGTGAGCTGCTCTCAGCCCCAAGGCCCAGGAGAGGGATTCTCTCAAATGCTTGCTTCCATCTCTGGTGTTTCCAGTAATAACAAGCAGCTATTTGAAAAGACAGACAAGCTCTGGAGCTTCCCCCATCCCTAGCTGACGTTTGTAATCCCATGGAGATCTTTTCAACATCAATGTTCCTTTTTTCATTTTAAAAGCAACTTTATGCTCAGCCAGGCGGTTGGTGACCAGCTGCCAAGCAGTACATGGGAAATGTGTAAGTTCTTCCTCTCCGGGGAGCAGAGTAGCGATGGGAATACTTGTGGCAGCCCTGTCCACTGCAGCCTCATCTCGAGTTGAGGCAGGGACTGCTGGTCAAAGGATCTGAAATCCTCTTCTTGCTGTTTGTATTAGTTCCTCAGGAATCTGATCCTGAAGTGAGTCTCCCAGCAAACAAGCTAGAGAGGCATCTGAGGGGCTAATACAGCCAGAGGAGAGGAGGGTTTCAGTTCCTTTGACCTACAACCCTTGCTCAGCCTGTAGCATTCCTGTCAGCGTTCCCTATAGAGGAAGCACTTAATGAGTTTCCTATTTCACAGAGCCAAGAAGGGAAGAGCAGGATGTGGGGAGGAGACTGCAGTGCCTGACATGAAGGCCTTGACAGGAGGTGACTCATTTCCTGTTGGGCAGAGGGGTGTTTAGTGCAAACACAGCCACCTGCCAAATGGGCCCCTTGTTGAAGGAGATTTTGGGGGGAGGAGTTGCTGGGGCAGGGCAGTTATGCTGCCACCTCACACACCAAGTGACTGAAAGTGGCAGCAGCAACTAAATCATCATCGTCATGGCAAATCCCCAAAGGAAGGTTCCTCCTTACAGGAAAATGTAACAAAAACTAAGGTCAGTTGTGTGGCATGCAGGGGTCAAGCTGGGCGAGCAGTACCAACCCCCGCCATGTCACCATACACAGCTTACGGGCTGCTGCACTCCTAGCCCAGATTCCTTTTTCCTGCCTATTGTTTGGGACACGCTGCTCGCAGGCCAACAGCAGGTGGAAGAGCAGGGGAGAGTTCAGCACCAGGCAAGAGCCTCTGAAGCAATGTCATTAGAACTGCACCCAATGGGCTAAGGGAGGCTCCTTGCTGCCCAGAAATGCACCCAGGAGCTCTGAGGCAGAGAGGTGACTGGCAGTTGTGGTTAACACTCAACTCCACATCAGTGACTGTACTGTACCTGAACTGCGCTGCTGCAGGGTGCCTTGACCAGCCCCAGCCCCTGCCAGGGAACGGCAGCAGCTGTCTCTTGAACCTGCCTGCAGGATGCCATTTGTGGGCAGTGACTAGGATCCCATTTAGCACATTTGAACAGTGCCTGCTCACAGCTAACAGCTCTTACTCCATCTGAGACCTTCTCAAAGCTACCCACACTGGATCTTCCAAACGGAAAGTCAGTGGATCCATTCACAACAGACAATTTCTGGCTGTTAGGAACTGAAACTTCCTTGATTAAATCACTCTCACACCCTTCAGTTGCAGTGAACTGCTTGCACAGATTACCATGAGGATTCCTTTCCCCAGGAGCTTTTCTAAGCAGCAAATCAGAAATAAGAAATGTCCCCCGCATTTCTCCATGGGACAGGGCTGCCTGAGTGAGCGCCCTTTGGGGAAATATGGGGGTCGCCTCAGGGAGCGTAACACAAGGAAAAATGTTTAGTTTCTGGTTGGGTTTCCTCTGGTTCTGGTGAAGCCACCGCAGCTCTTCAGGCAGTTCTGCATCAGTCAGGGGCAGCTTCCCAGACTCTCTTATCTGCAAAGCATTTGCCAGGGGAAGTGCTAGGGTGGCTTTAAACCACACTCCGTGTTGGGGTGAGGAGGCATCACCGTTGATTCATCCATAACTCCTCCTGGTGTGGCTGCTTCCCCACTCTTTGCAAGGCTGCAGCACAGGAGCACATGGGAGACTGCTCTCACTAGGGTGCGGACAAAGCCATTTTTTTTTAATAATTAAAAAAAAAATGATTTTTTAGATGGAGAAGCCCTGCTGGGTCATCTAGTTCCCTGGGACCAGTCCAGTTCCTACAGGATTTTTTTTAGTGCTTTGTCCAGTCTTGTCTTAAAAGGAAAGATATTACAGCCTCATAGGCCTATATCAGTAAACTTTTCCTGATATTCCCCCTAAATTGTCCCTCTTTTCATGGATTTTAATGACATCTAAATCAGAATGGATCTCCTGGTCTAACTTCCTGCATAGCACAGACCAGAGGACTTTACTCAATGCTTCTTGCATTAAAGCCAATAACTTGTGGTTGTGCTACAGCAGCATTTTCCGAAGTGCAGAATGACTAGGTACTTCCACAGCCATTGCAGAGTGACATGACAACTGTTCTCCAGAACCTCAGTTTTCATTAAATATGCTAGAACCAGATTTACATAAAGGTGTCTAGGCACCTAAAGACGCAGATAGGCACCTAATGGAATTTACAAAGGGTCTAAATGAGTTAGGCATATAACTCCCATTGATTTCAGC